TACACACTGGAGGTTTGTGGGGGGGTGTGGGTAGTGGTTGTTGGGTGCTCTAGTGTGGTCTGCTCCTTCTTTTCTATCAGTCATCTTCCGTTCTTATCTCTCCTCCTCCTTTTTAGTGTTTGTTACTCTCTTGTACAGCCTCTAATCTTCAGCACTTATATGACCTTATTGTTTCCAAATAAGGGAAAATGTATTGTGGCTTTGTTTCCATCTCTTTCCAATGAACATTTTTGTCTGCTTTTTTCAAACTTAAATGGAAACGCTTCAGCACTGAAAGGGTTAATTGACCTTTTTGTGTTGCAAGTACTGTAAAACTCTACACTAAATCTAAATTCTAACCTTCAGTACTTAATTAAATAAGTTAATTTACCTTTTTGTGTTGCTAGTGCCGTAAAACTCCTACTAAAACTACTCAAATTTCATGTAAAAATTGGTCCGCAGGTAGGGGTCAAGATTCACCTGTCGGCGTCGGGCCTGACCAAGATTGTCACGTTTTCGCCCTACTACATGCTACTCAACGCTTCCACGGTGAGTCCGCGGGTGGCTGGCGGGTGCTCTGGTCCCGTGTGGTTTGCTCCTTCTTTTTTCTATATCAAGCGTCTGTCGTCTGTCGTTCTTATCTCTCTCCTCCTTCTTTCCTATCAAAATTTGGTTGTATTATCTCTCCTACTCTTTGTGGGTGGTTGGCGGGTGCTCTGGTGTGGTGTGGTTTGCTCCTTCTTTTTTCTTTATCAAACGTCTGTCGTTCTTTTCTCTCCTCCTTCTTTCCTATCAAAATTTGCTTGTCTTATCTCTCCTACTCTTTTTGTGTGTGTGTGTGTGTTTGTTACTCTCTTGTAACACATCTAATCTTTGGCGCTTATATGACCCAGTTGTGTTGCAAGTGCCGTGTGGGTGGTTGGCGGGTGCTGTGCAGTGGGTTTGCTCCTTTCTTTCCTATCAAGACATCTATCGTCCTTATCTCCCCTCCTTCTTTTTTATGTTTGTTACTCTCGTCTCTTGTAACGCCTCTAATCTTCGGGCGCTCATATGACCGTATGCAGTTGTGAGCATAGTAAAACCTCTACTAAAACTAAAACTATCTCTCCTACTCTTTTTCTTTTTTTGTGTGTGTTTGTTACTCTCTTGTAACACTTCTAATCTTTGGCGTGTAAGACTTCTAATCTCTGGCACTCATATGACCCAATTGTGCTGCAAGTGCCGTAAAACTCTTATTGAAACTACAAAAACTAACTTTGCATTGTCAGTGTCCTATCTTTGCTGTTATTGTTGCGAATGTCAACGTCATTTGTATTGTTTTGGGTGGTTTGTGGGTGCTCTGGTGTGGTTTGCTTCTTCTTTCCTATCAAACGTCTGTCGTCCTGATCTCTCCTACTCTTTTTTTGTGTGTTTGTATGTTACTCTCTTGTAACGTCTCTCATCATTGTCACTATCATTGTCACTATCATTGTCATTGTCACTGTCATTGTAACTGTCATTGTCACTGTCATTGTAACTGTCATTGTCACTGTCATTGTCACTGTCATTGTAACTGTCATTGTTACTGTCATTGTTATTGTCATTGTAATTGTCACTATCATTGTTACTGTCATTGTCACTGTCATTGTAATTGTCACTGTCATTGTAATTGCCACTGTCATTGTCACTGTCATTGTAATTGCCACTGTCATTGTCATTGTCACTGTCATTGTAACTGTCACTGTCATTGTCACTGTCATTGTAATTGTC